CATTATTACATTACACACAGCTCCATGTTGACTTACAATCACCACCTCCAACCTTCAATCACGCCAATCGAGCTTTTCCGTGTATTTGCGTTGAGCGACGAGTTTAAGTACATCCCAGTTCGTCAAGAGGAAAAGTTAGAACTGGCCAAACTTCTTGGACGTGTGCCAATTCCCGTCAAAGAAGGTGTCGAGGAACCTCATGCGAAGATAAATGTACTCCTGCAAGCTTACGTTTCAAGATTAAAACTGGATGGACTTGCGTTAATGGCGGACTTGGTCTACGTTACTCAGTCAGCTGGAAGAATCTTGCGTGCTATCTTCGAAATCACTCTTAAAAAAGGATGGTCTTCGGTAGCCAGGACAGCTTTGGAGCTTTGCAAAATGGCCGAGAAGCGCATGTGGCCAACTATGTCACCACTTCGACAGTTTGCCGGATGTCCCCGGGACATTATACAGAAAGCCGAAAGAATTGACGTTTCATGGGCCAACTACTTTGATCTTGACCCACCACGTATGGGAGAATTGCTAGGCCTTCCGAAAGCTGGCCGAACTGTCTGTAGTCTTGTTGCAAAGTTTCCACGACTAGAAGTCCAGGCACAAGTACAACCAATGACGCGGTCAATGCTGAGAGTAGAGTTAACCATCACGCCCAAGTTTGAGTGGGATGACGAGATTCATGGCACTGCGGAAAGCTTTTGGATTATAGCTGAAGATTGTGATGGCGAAGACATACTTTTCCATGATCAATTTATCCTTCGTAAAGATTTCGCTCAAGCCGAGATGAATGAGCATCTTGTCGAATTCACAGTCCCCATCACGGAGCCCATGCCGCCACATTATTTTATCACTGTCGTCTCAGACCGATGGATGAATTGTGAAACTAAGCTTGCAGTCTCATTCCAGAAACTCATTTTGCCCGAAAAGTTTCCACCTCACACACCGTTATTAGATTTACAGCCTTTACCTGTAGCAGCATTAAAGATCGACGAATTCAAATCACTATACCCTGATTGGGATCGCTTCAACAAGATTCAAACACAAACATTCAAATCTCTTTTTGACACAGACGACAATGTGTTTGTTGGAGCACCCACGGGAAGCGGCAAGACTGCTTGCGCCGAGTTTGCATTGCTGCATCACTGGAAAAGCGATGATCCAGGACGTGCTGTCTATATCGCTCCATTCCAAGAGCTTGTTGATCTTCGACTTCAAGATTGGCAGAAACGTTTATCGAGTCTCCGTGGAGGCAAAGAAATTGTGAAGCTCACAGGAGAAACCACTGCTGATCTCAAACTCTTGGAGAGGGGTGATTTAATCCTTGCAACACCTTCTCAATGGGATGTTTTATCGCGACAATGGCAACGTCGGAAGAACGTTCAGAATGTTCAACTCTTTATCGCGGATGAGCTGCACATGCTTGGTGGACAGGCTGGCTTCGTCTATGAAATCATTGTCTCTCGCATGCATTACATCCGATCACAAACCGAATTACCACTGCGAATTGTGGGATTGAGTGTTTCCCTTGCAAATGCTCGTGATATTGGAGAGTGGATAGATGCGAAGAAGCATAACATCTACAACTTTAGTCCCCATGTCCGTTCAGTTCCTCTGGAGCTTCATATTCAGTCGTTCACCATTCCCCATTTCCCATCTCTCATGCTTGCTATGGCAAAGCCAACCTATCTTGCCATAAACCAAATGTCGCCAGATAAGCCTGCTCTTGTATTTGTTCCCAGCAGAAAGCAAGCTCGTGCTACGACTCGTGATTTACTCCTGGCATGCGTAGCTAGTGATGACGAAGATCGGTTCTTGCACGCAGATGTGGAGGCGATGAAGCCTTTGTTGGAACGTATTCAAGAAGAAGCGCTCGCAGAGTCCATCTCGCATGGCATAGGTTATTACCATGAGGCTCTTAGCACAAGTGATAAACGTATCGTGAAACATCTTTACGACAATGGTGCCTTACAAGTAATGGTTGCGTCTCGTGATGTTTGCTGGGAGCTTGATTGCAAAGCACATCTAGTTATTGTGATGGGTACGCAGTTTTATGAAGGCAGGGAGCACCGCTATGTCGATTATCCTCTTAGTGAGATCCTACAAATGTTCGGCAAAGCAACACGACCGATGGAAGACAAAATTAGTAGGGGTGTTCTGATGGTACCAGCGGTCAAAAGAGAGTACTACAAGAAGTTCTTGAACGAAGCTCTTCCAATCGAGAGTCATCTTCAGGTGTATTTACATGATGCTTTCGTGTCTGAGATTAGCACAAAAACGATCGAGTCAGCTAGCGATGCCATCAACTGGACTACTTTCACGTACTTCTATAGAAGATTACTTGCAAACCCCAGCTACTACAGTCTCAAAGACACATCCCATGAAGGGCTAAGTGCGCACCTGTCGGAGCTTGTAGAAACGACTTTGAAAGATCTGGCCGAGTTCAAAATCATTGATTTGGATGAAGAGGATGACTCTGTTACTCCACTAAACGCAGCAATGATTGCTGCTTATTATAACATCTCATACATAACCATGCAGACCTTTTTGCTGTCATTGACTGGCCGTACCAAACTTAAGGGCATTCTGGAAATTGTCACTTCGGCAACTGAGTTCGAGTCCATCCAGATCAGAAGACACGAAGACAGCCTACTACGTAGAGTATATGATAGGCTTCCCGTCAAAATGGCTCAGCCAAGCTTCGATTCGCCACACTTCAAGGCATTCGTACTTCTCCAAGCCCATTTCTCAAGAATGCAATTACCGATTGACCTTGCCAAAGACCAAGAGATTATCCTGACGAAAGTCCTCGGCCTCTTGAGTGCTACCGTAGATGTCTTGTCCTCAGACGGCCATATCAATGCAATGAATGCAATGGAAATGTCACAAATGGTTGTTCAGGGCATGTGGGATCGCGACAGTCCTTTGAAACAGATACCTCATTTCAAACCTGAGGTCATTAAAGCTGCAAATGGATCTGGGTATGTTCTAAATTGTTCTACTGATCGAGTACCTCCGCTAATAAGACATATCTATAGTATCAAGGACATATTTGAGTTTATGGATGCGATGGACCCTTCCGAAAATCCGGACTACGAAGCTCTCGTCAAACGACTCGGTCTCTCGCAAACACAATTAGCGCAGGCAGCCGATTTCACGAATTCGAAATATCCTAACATTGAGCTTGACTTTGAAGTGGAGAATCCGGACGAGATTGTGGCTGGATCACCTGCTTACATTAAAATCAAAATTTTACGAGACATTGACGAAGATGATGATGCGACAGAGGTGGACATGTCCGTACATGCTCCTTTCTACCCCGCAAAGAAAATGGAAAATTGGTGGCTGGTAGTCGGTGATGAGGGTTCGAAAACTTTGCTGGCGATCAAACGGGTCACAATCGGAAAAGCATTAAATCTTCGGCTGGAATATACGGTACCAACATCTGGAGAGCATGATTTGAAGTTGTTCCTCATGAGCGACAGTTACGTGGGTGTCGATCAGGATCCTGGTTTCCATGTCTCGGTGGCAGAAGGAATGGACGAAGATGAAGAAGAAGACGAAGACGAAGACGAAGACGAAGAATGAGCCACTTCCCCCTTTTTCTCTTGACGAAGCATTGCTGTATAATAGATAGGTTTAGTTGGTCAAAAGCACAATCGAGATCCATTGATTTGCTCGAGGTTGCCTGGATTCCGCATTCTTATTGGGTTCTTGTTCGATGTTTGTGACTGTGCTGCCTGTGCCACGGACGCCGCTCGCAAATTGATTGGCTACGTCAGAAGGTAGCCCAACAGTGGGCGGATTCTCACTCGTGTGTTGATCATGACACGACAGACATTTCTGTTCTGTCAATGATCATTTTCTTCATTTCCTTTATTATCCTAAAAAACCCTCTCTATCCTCTCTTTCCCTTCAACATCACTTTTCATCGTCGATGTTGAATGCCACATTCAATGATACGTTAGTGCTGAGCTTTACTGTACAAGTTGTTATCTGGAGCTCACTTTGTGGTCACCCTCTCCGACTAATATCCGGGAGGCTGGGGTGGTCGAGCTTGGAAGTTCTACAGAAATCCACCGCCACGTGATTATTGCCTCACTAGCGCGCGTAACTTCTTTTCAAGCGAACCATTTTGATTTCCAGAATTCCATCTTCCACCAAGCATCTTCCTCAGCAACAAGTCATCACATCCATCAGATTATTCATCCGCGATTATCTTAATCATCTCAGACATTACTTACGCGTCAATATCTATTCTACCAATACGTCTTACCACTACCATTGAACTTTTTGAAGCTGTGTCGCGACAATGGCGGATGAGGCAAGCACGCGAGATGAGGTGGCGCCTCCTCTGTCCGCAGACACTTCAGCTCCCGATGCTGTTGTAGAGCCCCAAGTCGAGGTATCGGAAGGCGCCAACAGTAGCAATGGTGTTCAGGATGGAGCTGTTTCCGAGGATCCAGTCGCGACTTCCGGCACAAGCGCGACGGAAGAAAGTATGATTGCTTTTCTATTGTCTCAATTTTCGTTGCTTATGCCTTTACTAATTTCAGCTTTTGTTTGTTTAGTCAAAGATAGCGACGCCGAAGTTAATACCGAGAAAATGGACGAACAAACAATCCCCGATCGTTCAGTGCACAATGAGCCACCCACGTCCACTGCTCCCGAGGGCGACGATACAGAATTGAAGGATGGCGAAGATTCAGAGGGTGTGGCCCCGACAGCCGATGAGTCTGCGGAGCCGGCAGATGCTGCTGGAACCCCAGCTTCAGCCAGCAAATCGAAGGGCCGACGCAAGTCTGGCGTGCCGGAACACAAGAAGAAATTAAACAAAAAGCAATCCAAAGCGAAGTTGACACACACGGATGCGCAACCCGGCGACTACTTTTATGTGAGATTGAAGGGCTATCCTTTGTGGCCTGCAATTGTTTGTGACGAGGACATGCTTCCCAGCACCCTCATCAAGTCTCGCCCAGTTACGGCAATGAGAGCAGATGGTACATACAGGAGTGATTACGAGGACGGTGGCTCTAAGGCCAAGGACAGAACATTTCCCGTTATGTATCTGTTCACAAATGAGTTGTGAGTAGCGCTCATCCAAGATTCTTTTGATGAATTCTGCTGATTGATTTAGTGGCTGGATACCTAATTACGACCTCCTTGATATTGATCTAGACACAGTTGGAGACGTTCCTAATAACATGCGCAAAGATTTGTACGCCGCGCATCAGCTTGCTGCCGAGAAAAACGATTTGGATTATTTTAAGTCTGTCTTGACAGATTTCATGGAGCAGAAGAGGGCTGACGAGGAAGCCAAAGAGGCTGCTAAGGCAGCCAAGAAGGCGAAGAAGGAAAAGAAAGAAAAGACGCCGAAGGTTGTTCCGACCTCGGACGATAATGAAGATACAGAGATGATGGATGTCAGTGCTATTCCCGATGACGATGAGGCCGAAGCACCAAAATCGAATAAGAAGAAGCGCAAGAACCCTCCACCGAATTCTGAAGCAGAAATTGTATGTTGTTTTTTTTATCGCGAATTTATTGATCGAGACTAACATGATATTCCAGCAGCAGCCTGACTCTGCCCCAAAGAAGCCTCGCATCAAATTGAACAATACTCCAAAGGCTGCAAATGGAACATCTACATCTACCCCGAAGGCCGCTAAGGAGCCAAAGGAGCCCAAATCCGTTAAGGAGAAAAGTAAGCCAAAAAAAGCTGCTGCGAAGCCTAAAGACGCCGCCCTTGTTGCTCCACCGGAACCAGAACTCACCCCCGAGGAAAAGAGAATTAAGAAAGAGGTAATTTGACCCCCTAAAATACATCTAGTGGTTGCATCTAACAACTCTCATAGAAAGAAATCTTGTTTTTGAGACACAAGCTTCAAAAAGGTCTCCTGACCAAAGACCAGGAGCCTAAGGCGGATGAGATGCAGCAGATGTCTGAGTACGTGAACAAACTCGAAGGTTATGCCGATTTAGAGGTCAGCATCATCAGAGTAACCAAAATCAACAAAGTTCTCAAGGCCATCTTGAAGCTTCCTGTCATCCCTAAAGAAGACCAGTTTCAATTCAAATTGAGGTCTCAGACCTTACTTGATAAATGGAACAGGCTTCTTGCCAGCGAACAGGTTGTACCAGCTACTACCGAGCCGCCTGCCACCGGTTCCAGGGACGAGAGCAAGGAAAAAGATGAACCAAAAACAGACATCGTGACAGAAAATGGCATCGTCGCCGAGCACGATGAGAATAAGGCGGAGGAAAAATCACCGGCCCTTGAGACACCCCTTACTGCGCTACCCAAAGAAGAGGTGGTGAGCAATGACGACCCCACTCCCACAGCGGAAGAATCTCCAAAGGTAATGTCCCAACAAGTCAAACTGACATCATCAGCAAAAGCTAACAAAATATCAGGAAGCGGAAGTTACCACCGTTCAATCAGAAGCATAATCCACGCCCCCTCGGTGGAAGAAATTAAAAATTAAACCAGCCTAGCTTGAACAGCTATGGGCAGTGTTTCGATCGTCATTCAAGATCGATTAATGAGCAGAATTGGTCCTCTTTTAAGTCTTCAGTCGTCGTCTTTTTAGGTATCGTCGTCCCGGCTTAAGGTTGATAGTTTTGCATTTGCTTTTGCGGGTTCCCCTTGTAACACTAAGAGCTGCCGGAATTTTATTTCTCTTAGCCCGTGGCTTCTCAGGATGTCACAACAAACCACACCTTGTACAAATTTCCTTTTCTGAAAAGCACGTTACGGTGGTTGCGTGGGAGTTGTCTCGGATTTTCAAGTTGGCCCGGATGAACGCTCGCTTTTCTCGTCTGACATTAAGGTTTTCTTCAATTTACGTTAGGCAATTGGGCAAATACCACAAGAAATGAAAACATTAATGGTGATTCCCGATGATTTGAGCTTTCGCCGCCTTGAACTTCATAGAGCAGAGGCAACTTGAGTGATCGTGTGATGTGATGCTGTGAAATTGTATCTTGGGGTACAATCTTAGAACTCATTACTTTGTCACCAAGCCAACCCAAATCTCGTCGATCATTTCCCAAATGTAAGGACTGCTAGAGTATTGATAGAATGTAAGAATTGTTACGCCAAATTGACCCTGATGAATGTATTCAAGTTGTTGTGCATGGGAAGAGGATATTGAAAGCCTATCTTACTCACACCGCCTCCTTATCAGGTGCGATATTTGGCAGAATTATTTATCGCAAAAATAAATTTCGTCAATCCAAAACTGACCGAAAACCTCATACACAATATACAATGTCCGCCCCTACCCCCGAAGTTCTTCGATTCACAACCCACAAGTCACTAAGTCACCGACTCGTTCTCTCTGCCCTAACAGGTCGTCCGATTCACATCTCCCAGATTCGAAGCTCCTCACCTACCAATCCGGGTCTTGCACCTCACGAAGTATCTTTCTTGCGACTTCTCGAATCTATCAGCAATGGCTCCTCTGTCCAGATATCCTATACTGGTACAACATTAGTATACAATCCAGGTGTCATAGCTGGATCGATTGATGGATTGGGTGCGGATGTGGATGGAGTAATCAAATGTAATTTGCCGGCGAATAATACTCGGGGTGTCAGTTATTTCTTACTGCCCCTATGTATGCTTGCGCCTTTTGCGAAGAAGGCTGTCAACGTGAGGTTTGAGGGAGACGGGGTTATCACAAGTTCAACGGAAGCAGGAGACATATCAGTGGATAGTGTCAGAACGGCCATTCTACCACTTTACGAACCATTCGGGATCATGGCCAGCAAATTGGAGATCAGAGTTCTGCAGAGAAGTTGTCCGGGAGCGGGAGGCAAAGGCGGTGGAGGTGTAGTAGAGTTGCGGTTTGGGAGTCAGATCAAGGCATTGCCGAAGACGCTGCATTTGAATAGAAATCCAGGGAGGGTGAGGAGGATAAGAGGTGTGGCATATGCGACCGGTGTGAGTAATAGTCATAATGCGCGGATGATACACGAGGCCAGGGGCATCTTGAATCCCTTTGTGGGCGATATCCACATTGCGACACAGTATGATCAGGCGCCACTGGTATCAGCGAAGGACAAGACGAATCCGAGCGCGAAAAAGAGAACCGGAGTGGGATTTGGATTGGCGTTGATTGCGGAGAGTACTTCGGCCGGTGTAATATATTCGGCTGATGTGGTATCCCCCAGTGTGGGAGGTGTTGCGCCTGAAGATATTGGAAAGCAGTGTGCATACCAGTTGCTGGAAATTATATCACAGGGAGGTTGTGTGACGAACGCCGGCGCACCCACAGTACTAACTATGATGGCAATGGGCTCAGAGGATATTGGAAGATTAAGACTAGGACGAGAAGTAATAGCGACAGAGGATTTAATAGGATTAGGACGAGATTTAAAAAAGTTCGGAGCAAGCAGTTGGGGTTTACGAGATGTAAAAGAAGACGAGAGCGAGGATATCATAGTAAGCGTCAAGGGCACGGGAGTGGGGAATGTTGGCAGAGGTGTACAGTAGCATAATAAAGCCAATCTCATCAATTTATTCATATTGAATGTTATGTCATGGTATGTGCAAATCAAGTCCATTTCTTAACACTATGTGCGGAACCTTTTTTTGAGTCTCTCAAACGTCTTATTCTATGCTGCGCTGCAACCTCCGAGCGATGGCACTTAGCCTCGGATTCCTTGCAGTAAGCTCGGCGACATCAGCAGACAAAGTATTTGCCCGTAAGGACCCAGAAGCGGACCCTGAAACTGCCAACTGACTTCGGAGGGTATCTAAAACATTGAACTCTCCAATAACGGCCGTCCCCGACCAAAAAATATCCAAAGGCGCATCATCCGACTGTGTATCTATCGGCTCAGCAAGTAGCCCTTCTCGTTCAAAGTCCTCCTCTGTGGTATTTTCTTGGCCATCTGGACGAGGGGCAGCTCCTGCGGTATCTAACGGCTGCATTTCAATGTCCTCCAAGCCAGCAACAGTGTCCCTCAATACTCCTCGTTCCTCAGCATCATGATCTTGTGTAGAAGGTTGTATTTGCGCATCAGTGGTCTTCTTTCCATAGGCTGTCAGGAACTTGTCGAGCCTCTCTCTATCTAGGTGAATAGTGAATAGTATGGCTTGTAAAGTCAATACAAGCAAATCGAAGACAACCAGTTTCAGTTTAGATGAAGGACCCTTCTGACCAATAAGATCGATAATGATGCCTCCATGTAGATATCCCCTCATCTCCTCGCCAGATCTCGAAGGCGCAAATAAAAGGTGTAGGAATATACACAGAATATTCGAGCCCAATAACATTATGACCAGAGAGGAGTTTTGAGGCGGTTGTCTAACGTGCTTCGGCTTCGGTGTAAGAATAACAAATTGTGTCAGGGCGCGCATACATAATTGGAAGAATGAGCAGCTTCAAGAAGATTAGCTCAGGTAAATCAGAGAGACTGGGGGCGAATTTCATACTCCATGTAATATAATACGCAAAGTTGACAATAAATTGCGAAGTCGAGATTCGTCATCAACGAGCTTGCTAACTCGTATTTCTTCCTTATTTGATCATAAGCTCTTCTCTGAGCTGGGGTCTTGGATGGATGTCGACATCGCCGACTCGAGCTCCCACTTCTGCCATTGGGAGGGGTTGCCAGTTGACCCGATACTGATGTAGAATCATTGTTCATTGCTTTCAGGAGTCATTGGGGTTGTACGGTGTTTTGGTGTGGAAGTTTGGGGAGTTTGAAATGTTAAGGGTTCACATCTTTCGAAGGTGAATAAGAGAGGGCAAGTGAGACTTGCAGCTCTGATATATCACTGGTCGATAATCAAGAGGTTTTGAAGCTGTTGATGCGACAAGGACGGAATAGGTGACAGAATAGATTAGGCTTTGCAGGGGTATTTGGGTTGTCATTACATAATCACTATGATGGATGATTCACTTTTTCGATGAATAATGTCTAAAAAGATTTGGATCTTTCAAACTTCTCCCAACTATTCGAAAGGGATGAGTTACACAATAACCAATTTACTCCTTAGCATCAGGCGTAAATTACCATTCAAACAATCAGTGCAAGACGATAGTTGTATAAAATACAATTTCTGTTCTGATTTTTGTGCTGAAGTGCCAATTCCAACCACAGCAGCTGGGACAAAGCAATCCTTCTCCAAGACGAGACGTAGGAACTGCAAATTGCAATGAAATACAACAGGGTCGATACCATGCCTAGCTATTACTCTAACAAGCATCGCCAATTGGTCTAGCCAATTCAATCCGATTTAGACCTCGCTCTATCATTCCACCTGTCGACCCACCGACATTTTGAACACTGTCCTGTTCCTTTTGCTGAGGCCATCGTGTAGGCCAACCATGTCCAATTTCGTCCAATTTCGTCCAACTTATTGAAACACTATTGGGCAAACATGTATCCATACCTCCTTATGCCCACTATATCATCATGATGGCATGCGACGGCCAGTTATTCCAGGCCTTCGAATCTCTTGAATTATTGCAGATTGTCAAACACGTGCGGGATCAGGTAGTGCTCGTGCATGAGAATCTTTTGATACCTCCTGCATTCTTCGTCCGTAAATTTCCCACCAATACGACCAGGCATGCCTCCCATTGATGACCAGTTGAAGCACAAGAAGTCTTGATCATAACTGATGCAGGTATGAGAGGAGATGGGAGTTGAGAAAGTTCAATACGTAAGTGCTATTGAACGACACTCGCTTGAGATATGAAACGTAGGAGGAGGCTTCCTATCGGAAATAAAACAATCTTCTGATGAGGACCAAGATAAACCAACATATGGCGCGGTGAGGAAGATGGCGTAGTTCCAGATTTGAAGACGGAGCTCAATGGGTAGCTTTGTAAAAAAGTGAAAAGAAGTAAAAGTGTCAGTAGAAGATGGTGCTATATCGGTGTAGCAAGTCATTCTTAAACACATCTTGATGCAAGGGAATCGACCAGCACGCAGGAGCTGTCAAAAGGGTATTGTAGTATAGTTCACAGATCTTGTGGCTACTGGTGACACTTGTGGCTACTGCATCTCGGTATTTGACTTGGCATCTGAACAACAGGAAAATGGTATCATTGAATAGCCAGATATAACAATAGATAGCAAGTGAAGAAAAGGATGAGAGGGGTTATGAATGGACAAGAGCTTACAGCTGTTGGTGTTTTGCAATCCGAGGAGGGGTGAGATCCTTGTACATGGTTGAATTGTACTCAATTGTCTATATTGAACGAGCTGCAGTGATGATTGGTAACATTGCAGTCCCTCGCCCTAATCCTAGGTATGTTAATGTTCATCTCATTCTCGAGTACATACATGTGCAGCAGATCACGGAGTATACTGTATTTTAGTATGTGAGACAAAAATAGTACACACCTGGACCATTGTGTGGGGTGGAAATTGATAAACACCCCTCCTTGATGCCTTAAAATATAATGAGGCATCACCCCACCCGAACTTCAAAATTATTGAGATTGAGTCACCTCTTGAATTTATCATTGTAATAACAGAACGGCTTTTGTAATTACAATCAAGTGCGCAACATGGCGACCACAACGGGACCGCAGGGCGATCTGCCAACTGAAATTCTTCAGACACTCTCTCAACAGGATAATATCCTTTCCTCAGAGGCATTCCCTACCCAAAAGTCTACCGATATTAAAAGTGCTTTGGATAGACTTGGCTCAAGGTCTATGATCACATATGATACAATAGACCGAGAAGAGGCTATATTGGAGGCAGAGGCAGAAGAAATCGCCGCGAATGGCAGTCATGAGGCACGCGTTTTCGAAGCTCTACGAAAGGCAATGGATGGGCTCACAGTTTCAGAATTAGAAGCTGCTGTGGGTGATAAAAACGTCGTCAAAGTTGGACAAGGTAAAGCATTCAAGTCGAAATGGATTGCGAAAGGTAAAGAGGGCAAGCTGGTAGCATCAGTGAGTTACTTCCCTACTACAATCACGAAGAATGATTCCTAATTTTTGCAGACCGATTCTATCCAAGACACCACCCGAGAACAGCTCCAGATTATTCAAAAGACGCGCGCACATCCAGATCCAAAAGTAATAACAGAACTGAAGAAACGTAAGCTGGTGAAGATGCAGAAGGTTATTAGCTACAAGATCTCGAAGGGGCCCAAATTCGCCTTAGAGATGGTCAAGGAGGAGACCGATTTGACAGCAGACATGCTTGCATCGTGGGTTCCAATGGTATCTTTGAATATAAAAATGCTTACATGTTTAGGGGTGCCTGGAAAACCGCCGCTTTCAAACCATACAACTTCAAATCTCTTGGAGCAGACCAAAACTCTGGTGCATTACATCCTCTGAATAAAGTACGACATGAGTTCCGCCAAATCTTCTTCGAAATGGGATTTGAGGAAATGCCTACAAATAACTTTGTCGAAACTGGCTTCTGGAATTTCGATGCTCTTTTTGTCCCACAACAACACCCTGCGAGAGATTTACAAGATACCTTCTACTTATCGGATCCTAAAACTGCAGATAAACCACGCGCAGAGTCAGAAAAGGATAAAGCTGACTATGAGACATACTGGAAGAACGTACAGGAAGTTCATCAAGAGGGAAAATACGGATCAATTGGTTATAGATACCCGTGGGCTGAAGATGAATCATTAAGATTAGTTCTCAGAACACATACGACAGCGACCTCGACAGCAATGCTACACAAGTTAGCTCAACAAAAGGGACCGGATGGACGACCGCCACCAGCAAGATACTTTTCCATCGATCGTGTATTCCGAAATGAGACTCTTGATGCCACTCATCTTGCCGAGTTTCATCAAGTCGAGGGTGTTATTGCAGATTATGGATTATCTCTTGGGGGTCTTATGGAATTCATGGAGATCTTCTTCAACAAAATGGGTCTCGAAGACTTGCGCTTCAAGCCAGCTTACAATCCTTACACCGAACCAAGTATGGAAATTTTCAGTTACCACAAGGGTCTCGGTAAACTGGTGGAGATCGGAAACAGTGGAATGTTCAGGCCGGAGATGTTGGAGGCTATGGGTTTACCAAAAGACATGAAAGTCTTTGGTTGGGGACTGAGTTTGGAGCGTCCGACTATGATTAAATATAAGGTACTATTTCCTCCCAAATTTATATTTCACAAAGCTAATCCATATCCTAGGTGAATAATATTCGAGAGTTATTAGGTCACAAAGTAGATTTGGGTTTCATCGAGAGGAATCCAGCTGTCAGACTAGACAAGACATAAGGGGTTAGATAGGTCCACAAAATAAATGATTGCAAAAATAAGACACAATGAATATCCATGAGTTCGTTTCGCCATAGGTGTTGTGCAGAATTTCGAAATACGATGACTTCGAGGGTATATGTAATGATATTGGATATCACACTATTTCTTACAGATGTCGAAATACAAATCAATCGTGATCCTCCTCCGTTAGGCCTGGGCAGCCATCCATCGAATCGTCTGGATACTTAAATTTGCAGAAGAAGCAATAATAGTACTGCGACCTCAAATGCTCAACAAGCTTCTGTAATCTTTCGGCCGGTTCCAGCAAATTAAAAGCATCCAGCTCAGGGTCCTCTTCCTCTAAATCCTCCACGATAGTATGCTGTATTTTGTCCTTTCCGAGTGCTCTCTTATCATCCTGGTCTTCATCCGCATCATCGTATGTCGGCAAACGTGATAGACTTTGTTGGAGATCATATCTCATCCTCCTATCCCTTTCCTTTTCTTCGCGTTTTCGAACTAGTCCTCTCCATAAAATGTTGATCTGCTTTAACGGTTTCGTAGAAATTTTGCGTTTAACTCCATCTTCAGTCTTCCCCGCTCCCCTACTCCCATTCTCAATCGCATACTCTTCCTCTTCCTCCTCCCTCTCCCCATCCATCCTCTCCGCAACCCTCATCGCCGCCCCAACAATCCCTTCCAACCTCCCCTCCTCCCTCTCCTTCCCAACCCTCTCCCTATACTCCCCCTCCTCCACCTTAACCCTTTTCCCCTCTTTCTCCACCCCCTCCCTAAACCTCCTCTTCTTCTCCTCCTCCAACCCAATCCCCCCCTTCCCCTCCTTAACACTCACCCCCACCGGCTCCAACCTCGCACCCACATTCCCTTTCGCCCCCAGCGCCACTCCCGGCGTAAACCCCATCTTCGCCATCATCTTTAATCCCTTACTATGTGCACTCTCGGGAGCCGCCAACATCGATTTCGACAATGCTTCTTCGCGCGCAGCAGATTCTTCAGCCGCAATCTCAGCTTTCGATTTCGTGCGCGACCGGGCCTCGGATTCGCGTTGCATGCGCACCCGTCGTTGGCTATATGTTTCTTTTTCGCGCGGTTTCGTAGGTTCCGTGATTATCATGTTCATATAATCATCTTCTTCCTCCTCTTCTTCTTCTTGCCCAGCTTCAATTGCAGCATCTGCGGTTTTTATATCATCTTCGGTCATGATGAATGGATAAAGTTGTTGGTTGTGCCTCACAGGCAAAAACGAGCAATTGGGGGGTACCTTTTCTCAAGCTTAGCAAAATCTCCAAAGAGTTTTGTTGCACGACTGTAGTAAAGGCAACTTTGGGGTTTTTGGAAAAAGTATAAAATTTTTTATAGATTTAGAATCAGAGAGGTTTCAGGGTCTCGAAACAAACTGTCTCGTTGAAATGGAAAGAAATCTTGTTCGTCCTGATCAAAGGGCGTTTGAAGATCTTTTTGGTCAGGCTGTGATTTTGCCACGAGGCTACCAAGTTTACACACCAAAATAATCGACACCGCCTTAAGGGCAAAGCTTAACAGTTGTCCAATGAAACAATTGCCGAGGTATCATTGAAGCGTTAGCTCAAGTTTCTTTTGAATTCACTTCCTGTAAGGCTGTGTTCATATTCTACAACATTCAACTCGACGGAAATCATGGAGACACTGAAATAATTCAGAATAGCCATCTGCAACCAGTCATATGATATGGTACCTAGTTAGATGGATTATAACAATTTTGGGAGCAAATGACGAAAGATGCAGAAAGCAATTAGCTCGCTGCATCGTTGCAGATTGATATTCTTATATTATTATATTTTCATATTCTCATATTTTCATGTTTATATGATATATTTTTTTGATACATGTTTTAGGAGTGATTATTGAGCTTACGTATCTAAAAACTCCTCGTCTTTTGTATTGTACAAAATCCAAGGAACGCAATCAGGCACACCCATCGCATTTGCTGCTGTTCTGGATAACCCGACAATATCTACTCGTTCATCTTGATCGGCATTACTCTGTAGTGTAACTACACGTAGGAGGTCTGTTAACAACAACAAGGCTTCCTCTGATTTTGTTTGCCCTTGCAAGTCTTCGTACACTATCCCTAGCTTCGCCAAAGCCTCGATTCTTTGCGATTGGAGTAATCCTAAGACTTGCGTGACTGTTTGAATCCTATCCTTGCTACTCCTATTGATATTGAGACGTCTTACTCTAGCACTGGTTATAGCACCAACAGCTGTTATTTGTAAGACAATGGCGCGAACCGTATCATCTGTGGGGTATGTTCCAAAGTATCTTTGCATGGCACGCAACGCAACTGCAGTTCCAGCATGGTCGTCCACCAGACCAAAGGTCAATACGATCAAGTTGTAAATGTCCGTTGGCATATCGTCTTCTCCAAGCTCTGCTTTCAACTTGTCTGCCCACATCATCATTTCTGCGAACAACTCTCTGGGGCGAAAAAACTTATGACGGACATGTCTTTGCATGCCCCGCTGCTTGGAATTTTTCCATAAATGTAGAAAGGTCTCAACGTCGGGCTCCACTCCATCTTTGACGAAGGTATGATACATCTCTTTGGTGTCCAAGGAGAGCCTTGGCTCAGCTTTAATCACGGTGTTCATGAAACCAGTGTTTGGCGCAATTCTCGCTTTGCTAAGAGTTGTGTAAAGGTCCAAAAGCCGTCCGTGATTCTGTGTTTTTACATAATGCTGCATCAGAATCGAGAATGTTTCGATTGTAGCAGGTGGATTGAGAAGGAAACTGGCAGATTTGTAATCAAGCTTATTTAGCCCCTTGTTAGTTTTTAAGGGGACTGCCAATGCCCTGACTCTTTGCTCTCGAGCCGTAACGAAGTCAAGTCTTGTTGCAATCATAGACCATCCCATGTCCTCAGCCAGCCTCCGGTTATGTACTGTGTTTGATCGCAGCCAAGCTCCAATAAGTCCATTCGTGAATTTGGCATCCGGGCAGAGCCTAATATTTCGCATTAGATCAAGTACTTTACTGGCTCCGTCAAGGTCGCCAGTGCCAATCAACTTTTTGATCCATTTTCCAAAGAAAAATTTATTGTTAAATTTCGATGGGAGATTGTTGTAATCTTGAGTGATCAAAGAGTCATACTGCAAAGCATCTGGATCGTTTGTGAGCATCATATCTATAAAGACTGATAATCCTTCATGATCTTTGCCGGCCCGCATGAAAAGTCCGGTGATGACATCGTAGTCATCCATCTCCATAAGCGATTTCATATGCTTCCGAAATTCAAGGTAAATGTTCCAAGCTTTGGAAGTGTGGCCTTCGGACTTTGAGGCCAAACAGCCTTGTATTATGTGAATAAGGATCCGAGCAGTCAATGGATCACTTGATCTTTGAATGAGAATAGATGCTACTTTTTGTGCTTCGTCAATGTCGCCGTTCTCCGCAAACATCCGAATTCCAAGCTCCAAATGTTGATTTAGAAGATCTTCATTTTGGGAAAGACTCTGCCCAGCGGCTCTCCATAGATCAATGGCAGTCCGTGGGTCCCCATCTACAAAGACAGCTTCCATGTATAGCAACAATGTAGATCCTCCTAGATGTAATCCCGCTTTCTGCATATCTGACCCTAGTCGTTTTACATGTGCCATGCGGTCAAAATTTGTTGGATCCGGCAGTGAAATATAACTCCAAAGGAGGTTCCAGATTTCTGGAGAAACTCCATCGGGATTTGACAGTATGGCTTTTCGGCAAAAAATATAGTATTTCCATAATCTAGATAACCTTTTTTCATCCATCCGAAAATCACTACGACCAAAATCATGATCAAGTTTTTGCACTTCACTATTCAGAAGTTTTATGTGGCCTCGAGTTGCGAGAGGATACAACCCTTCCTGTATCATGAGAGTAGTTGACTTTGGCCGTGGTGGTTTAATGATGTAATTTGGCTTTTGCTTTGACTGTGTTTTGAGAAATTGTTCTGTTGTGGGTGACGTTGGAGGTGGAGGTGGAGATAACTCTGTGGAAGTCTCAGCTTCATCTACTATAATTAGCAGGCATACTATCGAAATACAAACGGACACTTGCCTTCCTCGACAGACTTCAAAAAGTAGTTCCGTATCTTTTGCCGGTTTTCTTCAGACATCGGGCCTGGCTCTTTGGTAATGCTTTCCAACGTGTCCACCTCGGCCTGTAAACGTTCTATCTTTGCATCCATTGCATTTTCCCATTCCTCCATGTGAAGACTTGGTTCTCCATCTTCATCAACCTCCTCGAGTTCCTCCGCTGATACTTCTCCGATATCATCTTTTATTTCCCGAACCGCCTCTTGAAGACCTTCCAGAAGTTCATCCTCTTCTGGATCGCCTCGTGCTTCTGTTCGGATACCGTCTGGAGTCTCGTCAAAATATTGATAGAAGGGCTCCTCGGTCTGTTCAAGTTTTTGTGTTTCTGTCCTCGGCGCAAGCGGTAGTCCTTTTCCCTCTCTATCTATCGACCTTAGCGGGGTCTTTTGGGCCGTGAAATTTCGTGAAAGCCATGGTGCTCGAGGTGCGATCTGTAGTTTAATTCGGCATGACTTGCACACGAAACCACGAATACTAGAAGTCAGATTGGTGGGTGGCGGCGGCATTAGTGTTGATGGATGTTGACCGTACAATCAAAAAAAAGTTGGGAGCGGGAAACTTTTTTTTGAATGAGCGCCGTTGCGCGCAGCATGACTTCGCTTCCCATTCGCGACAAGTAAATATTAATCACGACACGTCAAAATCTCACGCAAGCCCCTTTTCTTGAACTCTCTAAACAATAAGAAATGTCTATCAACGGGAATACCAATAGTTTCACTGTGTTTGATGGAACAGAGCATCAGGTAAATTTTATCTCCATTCTCTGCTCTCTACTAGACTAAATTTCAGTAGGTAGCCTATATATTTACACCACCCACATCTGCACCTTCAGAAGACCTACTTCAACGTCCTAAGAAGCGTAGGAAGGTAGTAAGGACGCCAACAAAATTCTATGAAATCAATGGAAATGTAGAGCCTTTTAAATTCGCACCATTATTGAATGAAAAAGAGTCTCCCGAACTTTCAAGGCTACGTTTGAGTCTGTTCGATAAGTATTGGATGGAAACAGAAGCAAAAATTAAGGTGCCAAATTCAATTTCTTACAACTTCTGAAATTACACCTTACTAACATTTTAATAGTCAATCTTGAATGAAGCAAATGAGGGCACTTTGGTGGAGGTCACATCATTTGTAGAGAATGAGAAGTATGTACGGCCCGGTAGAATTGATTGGACGGAGTCTGATTGATATTCAAAAGGAGCACAGGCAAAGTGCCAGTCGGATTCATTGTGACTGGACCAAATATCGCATCTCAAGGCTTACTTTTCGAACAACTATCGGCGAGACTTTCCAACGAAGTTAATGGCCCCGTTATTACCCTCAGATCTGGAGAATCGTCGAATCTGAAGGCACTACTCAAGAAGCTTATAAGAGATGTTACTCATCAAAGGTCAAGCGGCGAAGACGAGGATGACAATTTCCTCGAGCAAGATGTGAGCCTAATCTTCCTGCAATGGCATTAAATCTATCCTTGCTAATCAACTCAGGGCCGTAAACTTCTGAACTATGATTTGGAGATCGTTCATGGTTATGTTAAAGTCCACGGGTGTGACAGAGTGATCGTGGCGTTTCAGGACAGTGAAGCCTTTGACTCTGGTCTACTTGGGGAGGTAATATCTTTATTTGGGTAAGCAAACATACCTATCCTCTCTTCTGACTACCTTTTTAACACTTGAAATCCTCAGCTCTTGGCTGGACCGCATTCCTTTCCTCTTATTATTTGGTATTGCCACATCCGTCGACTTATTCCAAAAAAGACTTTCTCGTGTTGCTACTCGATCTTTACATGGAGTGCAATTCGATGTGGAGCAAACAAGCTCCATCCTTGAAACTATATTTCTAAAAGTCATAGCTGGTTCCAATGCGCCAATACGACTGGGACGAGGCATTCTATCGAGTCTCATGGAACGTCAAAATGATCATGTTCAGAGTGTACAAGCTTTCATTGGAGCATTAAAGGTTTCTCGTCTCTTGGATCTTCATACAAATTAATACTGACATTGTTAGTATGCATACATGTGTCATTTTTACGCCAACCCTCTGAGCATATTTCTGAGCCTCAAAAATGACTCTAGTTTGGCGGCGCTCCTCCAACCGGAGCATTTCGAAGCTATCAGGATGTTATCATCTTTCCAAAACTATACCGAACGCCTTGTAGAGCAAGGTAAATTAGAGCATTCCATGGAGTTGATCACAGATGATGAGATCCTTCTGCAAGAGGCGCAAACTTCGGCCCAAGACAAAGATCAAGCCGTGCAGAAAGTTCTCCGTGTTATGCATGTTATAATCACCTCAGCAGTCGAAGCACCAGAGAAGATTGATCTTTATATGAAAGCATCGACTGGATCATTAAAAAATTCGAACATTGTACGTTCAATTTTAGATTCAATCAAACGTGCCAATCTCGATGATTTCCTAAAAATTGTAGTATCACTCATGGGAGCCACAGAAATTGGAAGTACTGAGCTGGATCTTGAACCATGGTCGGATATGGAACCGAAATTCTACCCAGAAATTGTGGGTATTTGGGAAGACGCTTTATCACTCACAAACTCAGAAGCTGGGAAATCCATCCGCAGCAGTTACAACAAGTCACTCCGTACCACTATCATCTCTCAGAAAGTCCAAATCAGCCAGGAGAAATCAGCACTTACCAAACAAGAGAAAGAGTATACAGCTCTTGTTGACCGCTTGATTCAAGCCGTACAAGACTTCACGGATGTGGGCAAACTACAGGACCAATTTCTCTCCGAGATTTGGCTCTACGATCTCAAATACCCCTACCAAGACGCCTTCACACCAAAGCCCCGTTTCGCAATCGAGCGAGCCCTATCTTCGCCCCACGAATACCTTTCCTGTGCATGCTGCGACCCTACGAAAGAAGGCGCACTCATGTCCCATCCACCTACTGCAATCCTATACAAGCTTTTCCTAGAAGCAGGAAACTTAATCAACATTTTCGATCTTTGGACTGCTTTTGTCGCTAACTTGGGACCGGAGTATGACGAGGGCGAGGATGGCGAAAGACAGGCTTTGATGTTGTTTTATAGAGGACTTGCAGACTTGAAGTTGTTGGGTATGATTAAACAGAGTAGGAAGAAGACCGATCACTTGACAAAATTAGCATGGAAGGGATTGTAAACTATGCAGTCAATGGATATTGGGACAGGAGAAGGAACATTTAATGCATTTACATCATAATTATATTAATCTTCGAATGCTAAAGCTCAAGACATCCACAGAAACGTGTTTAGCTGTCAAACAGCCCTCAAATCTAATACCATCTACTCTTCTTCCTCCACATATCATCTTCCTCCCTCCTCACTCTCTCCCTCCTAACCCTCCTCTCAATCTCCTCGATAGTCTCTACCATCTCCGGGCTTTCACACCCTCTCAAGCCAATAAATCTCCCCAGCCTCCTTCTCTTAACCTCCAAATCCGCGTTCACATCCCATTGCACTGGGCACGGATAATGCAACGTCCATTCACACGGTGTGCGCTGATGGTAAAAATGCGCCAACTCGTCTAGTTCCGCAGACGTCAAAAGCCAGAAATTGAGAAGTTGCTTGGGGAACGAGGGGTGCACTTGGCCGGATGTGAGACGCACGAGAGGCGCGAGGGGGAGGGCCATTTGTGTGATTTTGGCGGCGAGCGCGGGGTTGGTTTGGCTGATGCGGTTTATGGATGACATGGTTGTGTCTTGTGTTATTTTCTCGTTTGGTATTCGTGGTGAGTTGAGCTGAGTTGATTTGCTTTGGTTTGAACAACGCGCAGCGTTAAATAGTCCGGACTGATTTGCCTGATGGGTTTGGTGTCGGTAGTGTGATGCTGTGAATGTATATAACGATCTTCCGTAATGATTCAGATAAAGGAAAGAAATTACTTCTATGACTGTATTTGCTCAAGGATAGGAAAGATTATTCGCAAAGCTGCCAGCAGCGTAAAGATAAATGTCTAGGACGAAAGTCAAGGTATAGGAAAGTGAAATATAGGAAATGTGTGGATACCAGATACCGATGGAGATGTGAATGGAAGAAAAGGGGAATGGAAGGTTCTTGTAGTTTTTACCTCATTCACGAGACTTCATTGTGTAGGAGAACGCCTTTGTAAGTGAGATCAATGCGAGCTTTGTTGGGAAATCATATCTTTGATACGATTGTTTGATAAGTCTATTTTGAGAGCTTGAGTGAAAGGAGCTTTGTGGAATTCTTTGTGTGGGATTCTAATGAGATTTTTGTGATCAAAGGTCTCAAAGAGCCTTTCTTCGCACTGGCCTAGAATAGCATCAGCCAGTGCTTCCGGAAGATTTTTACTAAAAAAGATTCTCTGAATATTGAGGTAACGACTTCCCACACGACCATACAATATAAAAAAACTGACAGAGCTGGAGGACCAAAAATAGAATAATAATAATAAGGCCTGCTCGTTCTAGGATTCGAATGCCATATTATATCTAACCACCAGGATGGACTGATCAAATCGAATCTTGATATTAACCCTCTCGCCTATGCATGCAATATCTTACAGCTGTAAAACCCCAGACACCATAACGCCTCATATGTAAATTCATGCCATTATACCAACAGCCAAAAAAACACCCTCTATTTCTTGCCCTTCTTCCTCCTGTTGGGGCTGCCTTGTTCACTAGCTGCAGGTCCGCCCCTTTGAACTAGAATGGCATCCTCATCGCTGACGACGCTGATGGCCTTGGTTGGTGAGGTAATTTTGGATGTCTTGGCTTCTGCTTCTTCGTCTAACTCCTTCATGAATTCTGCCTGAATTGAGGCACGACGTTTTTCCCACCACTCTTTCTCAGATGCGGTCTTAGCCTGGACATCATCGAGCTTTTTTCTTAACATTGTATTTGCGGCTATTTCGTTCGCAGACTGGAATATTGTCTGTCCCCAATTTGGTGCCAGCGCATTTGCCTATTCATGGTTAGCTAAATTCAACTCCTTCGCGAGAGAAGGTCAACTCGCCTCCATGACCACATCTCTAAGTTCCTCTTCCATTTCTTTCTCTGCTCTCAGGAACCTTTGCCACAAATCGTCACCCACACTTCCCCTTTGTAGTAAAGTACTGCAAGCTTGCTTTGCTGTTCTGATTTGAATAATTCGGTGGATATCCTCGACAGCCCTTCTCAACAAAGCCGCTCGTATAATACTTTCTTGTTCTTTTGACACTTTCTCACTCCCTTCTTCTGGCTCAAGGTGAAGCAGTGATAAGTAAACGTTTCTTTGTAAGTGTGGTGGGAACCATGGCGCAAGGGTCGCGGATTTGGCTACAATACTTATTATTTTTGCGCACAATCCAATAAGAAGAAGCTTCACTAACCTGCTTTACGCTTCCTATATAATGAGGAGAAAATACCCAAAGAGACAACGAGGACAACAACATATGCGAGAGGGAGGATTAAACCACGAAGAGTGGTTGCATAATCATAGCTGTTGAACATAGTGAACGTTTGAATGCGGAACAGAGTATAAAGTAATTAACAGCGTGTAAGAGCTGTGGTTGGAAATTCTTAACAAATTGGTGAAGGATCTTAAAAGGTATGTTCTTCTTATATGTATTGTATGTTGTATATTGTATGTTGTGGTTGTGTGTCCTTTATTATTATCTTTAGTTCATCTCATTCTGCCACTTTAGGACAAATAACCTTAAAGTTACTTTTTGCTAAAGGACATGTCTACGGGTAGCCAATCAGCCAATCCCGCACACTCCATCCTTGTAGCAATTCATTCCAAAGGCGGTGAATAAGGCGGCATGGCAATTCCTACTTAGGCCACCGAATTCTGACGTCTTCTTTGGTGGTTGGAGGTATATGAACTGCAGTTCAGACAAGTACAGTACTGAGTATATCTACCTACTCTCTTCCAAAGAATCTCAAAGATTTCGCCTTCCACACTTGATTTCGACTTTCGTTCTTTTAACATTAAAGTTCAAGTGCTATTGCAACACAGAGTACATCGAATCTATTGTATTTCATACATTTGCATTTACATCAAGACCCTAACTGGGAAGAGCTCAAGATGCTTCTAAGATTTCGTGGTCCTGATGGGACAGTCCGTATTACTGTTGAAGCAGATGAAACTTTTGGTCAACTCGGCGATAAGGTTGGTCTATAATGAGCTGTATATATCTCTATGAGCTCCTATTGATATCTTATAGCTTGTAAAACTTCTACCAGAGAACCTCGATCCGAGGACTTTAACACTTTCGAATGCACCGAGTGGTGGAGAGGTCAAACCTCTTATGGAGATTGCGAGAGCCAAAGTTTCGCAGATTGGTCTCAAGTAAGTTGTGAATGAACATCATATATGTATGGGCTCTTGTGCTAACAAATGAAAGAAATGGTGATATGGTATTCATTAATTACAAGCTCTTGGATAGTCTCTCAAATGGCAATTCTACTACTTCCATCTCAGCCCCCCTTCCATCACATCTCACTCCTTCAACAAATCGTTTAAACGGAAATGCCGTTCTACCGGATTCAATACCTATCGATATTCCTGCTCAAGAAGTAACATCGCCCCTCGAAAAAATCAAGAACCCCTGGGAAATCGTTCAACAATCCGATCTCGATAATAGGTTAGACAAGAAGGATGGGAAAATTCCTAGGAAGAAGGATCAGAAAATGTGTCGACATGGTGAGAAAGGAATGTGCGATTACTGCATGCCGATGGAACCATTCAACGCGGAGTACCTGGCCGAAAGAAAAATCAAGAATCTCTCGTTCCACTCATACCTGCGAAAGATCAACTCGGCCACCAACAAGCCAGAGTTAGGAAGCTCTTTTATGCCACCGTTAACTGAGCCTTATTATCGTGTGAAGAAGAATTGTCCCTCAGGACACCCTCAGTGGCCAGAAGGTATTTGTACAAAGTGCCAACCTAGCGCAATCACTCTACAGCCGCAGGCATTCCGTATGGTGGATCATGTTGAATTTGCGGAAGCAAGCCTTATCGAAAATTTGCTCAAATTCTGGAGATCTACAGGCGCACAACGTTTTGGATATCTATACGGTCGCTACGAAGAGTATACAGAGGTACCGCTGGGAGTCAAGGCCGTCGTGGAAGCCATCTACGAACCACCACAAGTCGACGAACTCGATGGCGTAACCTTGAACGAATGGGAATCCGAAAAGGATATCGACGAGATGGCGAGATTATGCGGCTTGGAAAGAGTCGGAGCTATCTGGACTGATCTAATCGACTCGGGCGCAGGAGATGGCGTTGTCATATGCAAGAGACACATTGATTCATACTTTTTATCATCGCTGGAAATTGCATTTGCAGCACGTTTACAAGCACAGCACCCCAAGCCGACAAAATGGAGTGATACCGGCAAATTTGGTTCGAATTTTGTTTCTTGTGTAGTAACAGCCGATGAGACCGGAGGAATTGCCATATCTGCCTATCAAGTCTCAAACTCCGCCGTGGAAATGGTTCGAGCAGATATCGTCGAACCCTCCGCTGACCCTGCTGTGATGATCGTTCGCAGCGAAGGAGATGATGATTCTGACACAAGCGCAAGATACATTCCCGAAGTCTTCTTCCGAAAGATCAACGAATATGGTAGAAGTGTTCAGGAGAATGCCAAGCCATCTTTTCCAGTTGAATATTTACTCGTCACATTGACTCACGGATTTCCTGATGAGCCCAAACCAGCATTTATGGCTAAGAGCTTTTTCACTATCGAAAATCGTTTGGTCATTGGTCAGGAACAAGATATCAAAGACGTTGGCAAGCAATTGGGGCTTGACAAAAATGGACAGCTCACCCAATCCAGCGATGGTGTCCTCGCAGTATCTGACTTCCATCTCCTCTGCTTCATATATAGTATGGGCATTCTAAGCAAAGTCCGTACTTGCATTTTCTTCCTCCAAATCCATAAGCCTGATGCTAATATATTTCTTGTAGGAAGAGATGGCACTTCTCTGTCGCGTGGCCACACAACACGATTTAGCAGATGGATATCAATTGATAAAAACACCTGGATGGGCAACTTTCCTTGCAATTTTACAATCGACTGGTGAGCGACCCCCAAAACGTCAGTCGCCGTGCGACGACGATGGTTCTGCAGAGCGTCTTGCTAAAAGGGTTGGCGGGGTAAGGCTAGACTGAATGAATAGTCAGCTCCCAGGCTACTTTGTTCTTTTGCGGCTTATGCTCCGACTATGATAGGTTCCTGATCGTCAAAAATGTTTCGGAGAACCACTACTGTGTGACGAAAGCAAGTGTATAGGGCTGGGGGGGAGAGTAGGAGATTTGGCACGAAGCTTCAGTGATTTCTTCGGGTATGTGTAGGAGAACCCAAATTAGGTAAAATTGCGGGCGATGAGGGATGACACCTAACGGATAGAGCGGCAGCTCTGGTGTTAAAAAAGGCATACATATAGGACACAGGGTCCTTCAGGAGGAGGGGAAGCAAAGCATCGCAAGACAGACATATTCGTCTTGAGATGTACGGCATATTGAGACGTTCAATCCAATCACATTACAGTGAATTTTCTTCCGTCGAGAATGCCAAATGGTGGCAATATATGTTTGTTCGGTAATCTTCTCCCACCCCCGGCGTCCAATAACCAGCCTGTAAAGCTTGCCAAATATGAAATAGTTCGAAGCGTCTGATTTCCTATGGTGTTTGAGTAAAGGGATGAGTAGTGCAAATACAATACCACATCGAAATATGGTTTGTCACTGGGTGGTCATCCGAAATACCAGGTCAGGGAGTTTGCAAATATGATAGGTAGTCACAGAGCTTCCATATTTCATTATTACCATTGGGATGATAACGATGGCTGGTTTTATCAATGTTGGAATGGTTATCTCTTTTTACAGTACTAACCAAATTAGAGATTCTTCCCAAGCTGCAAAATATTCAATTCAATGTCATGCATGTATACATGTATATGCCATCGACTAGTACTTACTTGTTGACATGGTCGCAGTCACTACTAGTAATTTTTGTTATGGGCATTTCCTAATTCTCCCTTATCCTAGGTGCACTTTTGTCAAGATCTTTTTCTTCTCCTTCATAGGTACTCTATATCTATATCTATACTCGTATATAAATCTAAATACTCAGTATAAATCGTGTATGCCAACTTCTACCGCACCAATTTCTGTGGGCGCATGCCCGTTTGGTATACTCGAGTACATGCGTATGTGTATATACGTATGTACATAGAGTAGAGTGATTGGAAAATATAATACTGGAACCGCTGGCTAGCGTATACTGGTATTTATTTATCTTTTATTTTGATTGGCAGATCAGATATGCTGTCTTATCACGTTGTTCTGCTTGATATCAACATTCAAGCTGTCGGGTTGCTGGGTCGTATTGTTGATGCATGTCCACCACTGGTATTATATGATGGAGGGACGGCGCAACTGCATTTTACTATTTTACTATTTACTATTTACTATTTACTAACTACTAACTAGGGATGGAAATGGGTTTGAGGATGAGAAGGTACTAGACTAGGGTGTTTCAGATGAGATATTAGTGGAAGTATAGATGAGCAGAAGTAGATGAGGAAGCTCTGCTTTACTGTATCTTACTCGTATATCTCTTTACAGTGTTAGATTTCTGTTAGATGAGATATGTGATGTATCTATTTTCTATACGAGTAGTTTGTATGTGTATGTATCTACTCGTATATTAGATGGAATGACTTTGTTTTCTATTACATCTTGCTTCTTGCTTTCTTCTGTTCTAGATGCTACTCGTAATGCTATATATATATAGTGATATTCGACGATGTAGATAGATATATATTCAAATCACCTTTTCCGTTTCCAATTTTTACTCGATTACTCATGCTACCTTCCATTGATGATGTGTTAGAGGAAAAAGTGTTAAGTTCTGTACTGTATTTCTCTTGAACTTCTATGAGTAATACTAAGTACTCTTTGATAAGACCAGACGAGATAGTCTCGATTCTCTATACTTTCCCAACCTCGATGACCATTTTTGGCGCCGAAAAGAACGAGAGTTGTTAATGGACGAAGAGGGATTGGTCACTGGTTGATGGGGTGCTGGTAGTTTCGATAGATTTTTTTTTGCGAGTAATGTTTGAATATTGGGGAGTTGGAGTACTCGAGTAAATGTTGTAAGGTAGTGAGTGATACGATGGATGGTATTGGTATTCATCATGCTGATGATGAAAGCCAGGATAGTGATTTGACTTTTGAAGTTTGAAGTTTGAAGTTTGAAGAGAGTGATTTCAATGCAAACAAGTGATAAGTTACTGTTAAGGCATATCACAGTTGACATCTGAAGGTTTTTCGTCTAATATCATCAGACGAGATGGACGGATTAATGATATTCTAGTCGTGTATCCAACCTACATCTATAGTTCTGCAGTTTTAGACTATATCTTCTTTAGGTTTCGAGGGGGGTAAAGAGGTAGGAGCGATCATCAAGTAACGGAAAGAACGGTAGGGACAACCCTCGGAGCATTTTCCAGTTCTTGTCGACATTCTTCACTATTCTCGTTCACTCACATCATCGTTGTCATAACCACCGCCATTATTTTGGCAGCCGCTCATTTTGTCACTCATTTCGTAACTCATTTCGTAACATCCTTAGCCTCGAAATATCCTCACAGGTCACCGATCTTTCTTTCAACGAGGCAAAGTCCATGCCAGTGACTACGTTCCAACCCAAACTTCACCCACTTGCTGCGTCATCCATTCCTAAACAAGACTCGACGCTCAATGTCTTACCTCGAAGAAGCAGCTTGCACAACCCCATCGCAATCGACCAGATCGAAAGATGCCACTATGCCTTTGGAAAATCCTACTCGAAGCTCGGATCCGGAGATCGATGCATCGACTACTCCATTGTCATCTGATTCTTTCATGAGATCTACCAAGAGCCGTCCTGTACGACCCACTCTAGTTGGCATCTCGGAGGAGATCGTATTGCAGAGATTTGTCAAAATAACTCCAACTATGAAGGTGATGGGCAGAGGTAAAGGGTTGGAAGTGACAACCTTCACCCAGTGCGAGGCTTTTCCTCAAATGGCCAATACTACACATCCCTCGCTAGAATTCGAAATTGGTAGTTCTGTTTCCTCCATGGTCTTCCTATTTGAGCTAACATGTCATTATCTAGATACTCTTCAAACCAACAAAACACCCATAATGTTGTTAACGCGCTCTGCTAGTTTGGGATCATTTCCCGCCCAAGGTAGAAAGTCAAAGGTAAAGGCATATAAGCCTTCCAGATCTTTGGGGCTTAAAGAGAGGCGCAAGTTAAAGCAGATGATCGAAAATGAGAATGATGATACCTGTCAAGATGCATCAGTCGTACCGCAATCTTTCGGTGAGACTAACGCAGAATTCAGGACGGCACCATCAACACCAATGAGACGTCTATCAGTAACTGACAAATGTGATATGGATGGTTTGTACGACGATAAGCATAAGCCTCAATTCCCCCCTGGTACAACTATTCAAGACTTTGGTGCTGTGCCCGATCACCTTCGAGGTCCTTGCTTTGAAGTGAGTCCGAGAAGTAGCTTTTTGGATGGCCCAACTACTCTCCCAAACATAAAGAAACTTTTGTCTTTGAGTATGGATGATACCTCCGTGGAATCATCGCTCATGAGACACCTCGATGGAGTGCCTGAAGTATCGCCAGAATTGTCGCTAGAATTGTCGCCCGAGGTAGCAGAAAATTGCATGGGACAATCGGACGGACCCGCGCCTGTTCCCGCCATTCTACCAGACGTTCTACCAGATGCTGTACCTAGCCCAACTGAAGACGACAAGAAGGGAAAGCGTACTCACAAAGCTGTGAATAAATTTCGAAAGGGCATACGAAAAAGCAGATATCGCTGTTTGAGAACACCAGTACTTGTGGTATTGCTAGGCAAAGAGCTTTCAAAACCAACCAAAATGGCCATTGAAAATCTCGCAAGCGGACTTCCTTCAGGACTTGATAATGTAACGCCCCTCCCCGCGTGACAGCGAAAAATGTCTTTGCGTTTGAGAGCTAAATTCAATAAGATGGAACAAACTCTCTCGCCGTCGGTCCCACTTTCTCTACTTGAGCAACTTACGCCTAAACCCGTAGCAGAGAACGATTGCTGTGATGATTTCGAGAACTAAGAATGAGAGCTTGGTAGTGGTCTATAAGAAGGAATGGCCTGTTAGAATGGATATCATCATACACCCCTAATGCAACGAATTCATGACACCTCAATCAATAGCCTCTCATGATGAAGTGTGAGAAGCCCTAGCGATTGTAATGAGATATTTCTAGTGAACTCGTATTGTTGAACCGTACTCATTGAGTAGGGGCTCGACAGTGATGTAAACGAGTAAGTTGAGTGTCTTAGCCTAATATAGTTGACACCCCCTTGGGCACGAGTAAATGGAAAGATAGAAGCTAGAGTATTATCAGAAGATATCTTATTTTATATATATTGATATTCATTCTTAATCTTTTATTATTTATTATTATATATATATATATATATAATATATATTATAATCTCAGTCGTGGTGCTTCCCCTCCCCCCGAGTTTAGCGGCCGTCGCATTAGACAAGATGTGTATATATACCAACCACTTGTGACCAAAAGGGTATAAACAGGACTCCGATTGTGTACTTAGAATCTACAAGTGAAGAGCTATGTAGGGTGCTAAAAGGAGGACTATATATACAGGTATTGGGAGCCATAAGGGCTAGGCCCAGAAGAGTGAAAGAGTCCTAGAGATAAGCATCGTACGATGCCTAGGTCTAGAGCTGTAGAGCTAGAGCTCTAAGCTGTGAAACGAAGGTCCAAAAGAGCCGTAATATTATACTATGTATGTAGTATGAGCCACTGGGCGGAAGAGAGCCGTCTGTTCCGTCACATTATTTAACAAATGTCTTTAACCACAAGTTTACATATTTTATTATAATTAATGAATATATCAAAGTTTTAAATAACTTCGATATTACCTATTAACAACTTATTACAATCTATATTTTCTATTCTCATTATTCTTTTTAGAGTATTTGCCCTACCCAATCATTTTCTATTTCCAATATTATAATATCTTGTAGCAATACTCCTAAAGTATACAATAGATTTATAATGTTTTTTGATATACCTTACTATTTGCTTTTTACTGTATCTATCCTTATTCCATGATACTTTTCAAATGGACCTTCTCCTACTCCTTTCTTTGGTTTCAGATAAGTTATTCTTCAATATATATCTTGTATCTCTGTTATCATTAATGAAATTAATAATAAAATGAATCCTGAGTTGGATATTGAAAAGTTTGATAATAATTATGATTATCAAGAAATTGATCAAATTAATTAAATCAACCAAATTAACCGGATCGAGGAATTTCTATCTTTTACAAAAAAGGATATTCTATAAGTATCATTTATTTTATAGAGCAAATATAGGATATATCATATTTTGATTTGTATACTCTTATAAGTAGTTATTATCTCTCTTTTCCAATTATTTTGGTAAAGGATAGTATTGTATTCAAAATATAAGGTCTAATAGATTCCGAAACTAATGGCTATACTTTAATTGATCAGAATCTGGTAAAGTATCTTGATTATTGTATAA